ACAAATCAACTCTATCCTCGGGAAGAATGTGGATGAAGACTTTAGATATTAAACCTTGTTGGCGCAAGTTGTAATTTGTAAGCCGCTGCAATTTTGCTCAAGATAACGACTTTATTTCATGAGAGTGCGATATTTGTTCGTGTTTTTAAATTGCAAGATACTAAAGTGATTTTCCTAAATGAGTAGGACTAGGCTTCTAAAGAAATAGTGAACTGTTTCTGTTACGAAGTAATCTTTTTAAATTGCAGACATCTATGGAAGCTCTCATCCATCACTTCAAGTTGTTCACGCAAGGCTACCAGGTGCCTCCTGGTTCCACTTATACGGCAGTGGAGGCGCCCAAAGGAGAGTTCGGAATTTACTTAGTCTCTGATGGAGGCTCTAAGCCTTACAGGTATTAATTCTTTTAATATTGTATTTAACGTGTTAGAAGCTATGTTATGGCTGCATCACGGATGGGTCGGCTCGACCGGGGAAGGACCACGCTCATAGCATACTGGCGTAAAATAACGTATATACATACATGAACATAGGCCTCCCCTATAGATTTCCTCATAGGGGAGGTATTTGCCATAGTTGCCACGCTTGATGATTGCCGACAAAGCGTTTACGATGTGTCACGTCATATGCAAAACTTGAGTCGCTTGTAAATTTCTTGTGGGGAAAGGCCGTTAATTTATATCAAACTCTTGCATTAATTTTTCATAATTTTCAGATGCAAAATCAAGGCACCTGGATTCGCCCACTTGGCTGCTTTGGAAAAAATAGGCAAGAACTCTATGTTGGCCGACATTGTCGCCATAATTGGAACACTCGACGTTGTGTTCGGAGAAATTGACCGATAAATGACGTATTTAAAAACAAATATAGCCGAAATCAAATGTCAAGAACAGTGTAGAAATGTACAATTTTACTTTTAAGCAATAAATTATTAAATAAATTGCTTGTTTTTATTATTAGTAAAATCTGTCACGAGAATGTATTTGTTTCATTTACGAGCTATTTCAGTTACTACGGTCAAGTTACGGTTTCAGTTATTACGGACGGTTATTAAGCATAGTGCCCCTTGGCACTATGCTTAATAACCTCAATATTTACGAGACATTATTACATTATGATATGTTAAAAATCCAATAGTTGATAAAAACGATAAGTTATTGACGAATGTACTGGGAGGGTTTCTATTGTGCCTAATTGTGCGGCAAGGTAGGTACTGACGTATTATCTACGTCTTGCACCACTGTACTCTGGACGAAGTGGGAAGAGAACCAGTATTATAGGCTGCATTCCATCTTAGTCCTCTAAGGTGACAATGCATCTGTAGCCTTCTGCAATGTGACGCATCAGCATTTTGTGAAGAAAAAATATATAAAATGAAGATTCGGAAAGAAATGATAGGCTCAGAAGGGCTAGTACCCAGAGCCGTAAAGCCAGTTAACAACAAACAACAAAAAAAAACAGGTTAAGAAAATAGAGTATGTTTACTAGTGTCTGACCAAAGGTCGATTTCTGCCGAATCAGTTATCTCCACAACTTTCGCCAGAAGCTTAAATACCCAAAAAAATCAGTTCAAGGTTGGTTAAAATTAATAATGTAAATGATTTTAAAACTTAATGGTTTATATTGACTTATATAATATAAATATATAGTATATTACGCCACTAGGGAGGAAGGTATGATATTGTAACCCGCGTGGTATTGTCATATATTTATCAAAGATTTAAATAGATCCGCTTTGACCTCGAAAAACGCATTATTTTTGAATGTGTGCCTTTGCAAGACGCTGACGCGTGCACACTAATGCTTTTTTTGCGCCCAGAAGCAAATAAGGGCTACCCTCCGGTAAACGGGGGAGAGATGGCGAATGCTCATGCACACCACGCAGCTGTGTTGCGCAATACGGTCATATACGACCGACGCTACAACGGCATTTCCTTCTGTTTATGCCTATTTATAGATGATCCTTTTGTAAACCGTTTCCGTGGTACTTTCGAGTATCTAACTAAATTGGTTAATAGAAGAGTACTGAGACAATAGTGTCATCTCTTAATATCTTACGGGAATTGTGTACTACTTTCTCTGTCGCACAGTTTCCGTTTGCCCGTAATTATTTCGTGGTATTTTCTGACATCGGAATAAAATAAATTTAATTTTTAATAAAATGTAGATACTTACAAGATGTTACACCTTGGGCTTTATTTGTGTTTCTAGAATTATTATTGCACTTTCGAAAGGCACACGATAGCATTCTGATTCCAATAAGCAACGTCTGGCTGACACCGCGCACAAATGAGCACTGATTGCGAATGAGTGAGCTCACTCATTTGAGAATGGGCACATTTCGGAGTGGTCATACTATGATAAGGGCGCATTTAACTATTTAAACCTTCGATATTGATAAGAACGCAGGTTGCGATGTCAAACTTTTCTCCCGTAGTGCGTATACTATTTTTTATCACACCAGGATCGTAAGTTCGATTTAACTTCGAGTAATATATAATGATTTCTTATATTTACGCGAGCACTACGCATTTTAATAACACTAGTTTTTACGGATTTTATCCCGTATATTAACTTATATTATAATCCCGACGTTTCGAGCACTTTACAGCACTCACCATAGTCACGGTCAAAGTGTATAATAAGTATATACAGGAGTCGGGGGAGAGGGGACTGAGGTGTCAACGTTCATAGTTAATCACATTGAATTTATTAATTTTTGTTCCCATCTACGCAGTATGAACTTAAAGCTTTGCAGTAGTATGCTTAGGTTTAGATTTAATTTTATTAATTAAGGGATCCCAAGCAGATGGTAGCACCCAGTCGTCTTGTCTATAGAAATTAAAATTAGAAAGTTAGCGCATAGGCAGAATTGGCGAAAAACAAGTTCACCTTCCTTCTGGAACTCGTGCATTCTGGTCTCTCGGCAAGGCTGTCCAGGGGAATTTCTGTCAGCCATCTCTTCCATCTCTGCACAGGGAGGACGACTCACTGGCCCATACCGCAAAGGAGAAAGCCGATCTGCTAGGCTCTTTCTTTTGCGTCCAACTCGACTCTCGATGACAGGAGGAGTTCGCCGCCGACCATCCCGCGGTGTGAGTGCTCCATGCCGGAAGTGCAGTTCACACAGCGCTCGGTTCGCAAAGCACTCCTCTCCCTGGACATCCACAAGTCGAGTGGGTCTGACGAAATCCCCCCAATTGTGCTGAGGACGTGTGCTCCAGAGTTGGCACCGGTTTTAACGCGTCTTTTCCGGTACTCCTACTCCCTAGGCGTAGTCCCAAAATCATGGATGACGGCTTTCGTCTACCCGAACCCTAAAAAAGGCGACCGCTCAGACTCTTCCAACTACCGGCCTATCGCCATCACCTCCTTGTTCTCTAAAACAATGGAGTCCATTGTAAACTGCCAGCTCATGAGGTACCTTAAGGATCACCAGCTGATTAGTGATCGCCAATACGGTTTTCGCCGTGGTCGATCAGCTGGTGATCTTCTGGTCTACCTAACTCATAGATGGGCGCAAGCAGTAGAGTCCAAGGGGGAGGCATTGGCCGTTAATTTGGACATTGCGAAGGCCTTCAATCGGGTTTGGCACAAAGCGCTTCTTTCGAAGCTCCCTTCCTATGGGCTTCCCGAGAAATGATGCAATTGGATCACCAGCTTTCTTGCTGATCGGAGCATCAAGGTCATTGTAGACGGTGCAAGCTCCGATTACAAGCCTATTAACCCCTCATATGCCGGGCGACAATGCGCACCGAAGGCGCTGTTTGCCGCGGAAAATAGTACGCGCGTGGCAGTCCGTGTTAATATTTCAAAAATATATTTTAAAGTAACAACGTAACTTACATATTTTTTTGTTATTATTCCATATAAATTGATACTTTAACTTTATTTCATTGTAGTTTACAACAAAAAAATATGAGTTATTTATTATTTATGAATGGTTTTTTCGGCATGAAGAAAGTATAAACAGTTACAATAAAATTAAATCAATTTTATTTTTTCCTTTTCTAAAGCACATGAATTATAACACATAAAATATAGAATAAACATGGTTTTAAAAAATGTGGTTTGAAAATAGTCATCACTATCAATTGAACGTAGATATACGTTCAGGCGTAAGGATAAATAGCGCATATCTAATTTCCAGCCTATAACATACAGGATGTTTCATTTTTCGTTCCATATCAACTGTTAATTTTGACTTGACCTGACAGACCGCACCTAACGTTGTTGTAGGCATAGGGAATAAAATTCTGTTACATTATGATATCTTTATTTTAACACGTGATATGAATCAAACAATTTTAGAATGAACATAGAGCGACGGGGACGGAATACTGGACTACTGGAGGATCGTATTTAAGGGTTTGACGCAGATTGCGCACTTCTCAAATTAAGTGTGAATTTTATCAAAATTTATCAAGATAAAAACAGACTGCAAACACTATGCTTTTTATTATTTTATAAGGGTATCAGTAGTTTCTTTGTGACTGTTATAAAATTCACACACATTTTGAGAAGTTCACATTTTTCGAAATGCACAATCTGCGTCAAGTTGACAATTTGCGGAGCGCAATCTGCGTCAAACCCGTATTTTACACATCATCCAGCGTTTCATGTAGAAATCATTTCTTGTGTATGATAATCACGCCAGCATTTACCGATACACAAAAACACTCGATATTTTGAGCACTTTACATTGCTCTCTGTCCGCTTTTTATTTGCGAGAGCCGGGCATCGCACACAGCGTCCCCTTTCATAGCGAACACGACCTTTCGATATGAGATCATCAATTTCTTCGTGTGCTGGAAAGTGTTCAATTCCATCTAACCTTTCCCCTCTTGAAAGTTGTATGGCAGGTCTGATGCGGGTTGTAAGAATATGTCGCCGCGACAACGCTTTAGCTAGGGCATAGCGATATTCTCGATGTGTCAGTTTGCGCGAGTGATCTTGGGAGTTTGCGCGATATATTATAAAAGTGTTCAGAATACTAATATTTAGTAGTCTTCTGAACCAACGTACCACTTTAGGCCCCTTTTCCGTTCCAATAAGTACATGGATAGTTTCTGGTCTTTCAAGTCGACCCCACCCATGTACTTATTGTAACTATGGACCACAAGCGGTTTATTGCACGCTACACCTGCTCGTTGCCCTGGTGCCGTATCAGCATTATGATAAGTAGATATCATAGACACTAATTTGACGTCCTTCCACGACAAGACAGTGATTTTTGAGCAATGTCTAGCGACTATTTCATCCTTCTTTATTCGTCGTTCAACTAGAGCTTTTATGTCAGGAGGAGTGTCTTTTCGCCGCCGATTTAGCGTACCAAGTACATCAGTACCACATTGCTCTTTTAAAAATCGAGTAAGAGTCACACTATTTTAGAAATTATCCATAACAAGACAGTGTCCTTTATGAAAATACTCATTCATTAGCTGTATAACGATCTTACTCGATGCTCCTGTAAATCCATGTATTGCTTGGTTTTCTGAGTTTGTACCTTTCTTTCCGGAATAAATGGCCATTGTCAATAAATATCCTGTTCTAGCTTCGCACAGCTCGTAGCTCTTGATGCCAAATCGTGCTGCTTTGGAACGGATACATTGTATCCAGCTTAACCTCCCTTTCCAAAGCAGCAGCGATTCATCAAGGCTTAAGTGCTGCTCAGGAACATACATCTCCTTAAATTTGCGGTTGCAATGGTCGAGAATAGGAGCTATTTTAGATGTTTTACGATCATTTCCATGTAAGGTTAAATCTAAATAATCGTTATCTACGAAATGCAAAAATCTTAGTATGAGAAGGAAACGATTTTTTGACATAATTTGGCGAAATTGGGGCATTTCTAACGTATCCGTAGTCCAGTATTCGTCTATTCGTCCTCTGTGACACAAGCCCATATAAATCATTATGGAGAAAAACTTGTAGAGCTCCTCTACGGTGACTTCCACCCAGTCGTTTAATCTTGATTCTGGTTTTAACCCAACTTCACTAAGTCGTCCAATTGTCTGCCATGCGTACTCGTTCATTTCGCGTACAATTAAGTCCATGATATTTTGGTCCCACACAGAAGAGAATAGTTCAAAAGGATCAGTTAACGTTATTGTAGGTCCTGGTTGCTCACTGTAAAATTCCTGGACACCTGTAAAAGTTTGAAAGTCACTTGACCAACTGACACCATCTGTCAATGCTGGCGGAAATTCTTCTTCTTCAATGTCATCGTCATTTGACTCCAAAATTTGACGAATAGTCTCTTCAGTGTATTCTTCAACGTCGCTTTCCTCGCTACCCGAATCAATGGCCAGTGCCTCAGTAAGATCCGTGGGTAAAATATCAGCGAAAGAGACGTCATTAGCCTAAAAATATAAGTACATTATAAATTATATAAATGTAGGTAAAGTACATATCTACCAGTACATATATGCGGTTAGTGAAACCTACAGGCGGCCTAGGTGGAGCAGATTCTAATAAGAAATTCGCTTCATCAATACTTCGACTAGGCTCATGGACCATTTCATGCTCAATTGTTGAAGGCGGAATAGAAATTTTGCCTTGAACATCATACTGAAAAGAAAAAGAACTATTATAAATTGTCAAGATTCTTGTTATTAATATACTAGGTACAGTACATGTATCGAAATTTAATAAGTACATACAACAGAGGACCTAGGTACATTCTCGGATAGCTCTTCATTAAATGCAGGACCATCTGGCAATTTAAATGGCAATAACCTTCCTGATTCTGTCCTTTTCAAAATAACTCTGTCATTTGACAGCACTTTTATTCTTCCACTGGGAGATTTTTCAACTATGAGTGCTGTATTAAGATTATCTTGATATCGTGGATTATTGTTAGAATTATTGTCTTTTGATTGCATCTACAACAAAACAAAAACTAGGTATCAATAATTAAAAATACACTTCTTTACGTTAGAATTTGGTAAATACTAACATGAAAACTAGGCATGTAGGTGCGTAGACTATCCCATACTCAAAACGATTGGAAAAATAATCACACAAGATATTGTTACATATTTATAAGTTGCAATCATCTTTTTCAATCATTTCTATAATTGTGCTTGATTGTGTTTTTTTATATAAAGATAATTAAAATAAATTATGCACAAAAGTCGCATTCATCACTTGTGAAGTGATCGTAAACGGCGAAATTACAATATTTACACCAAAACCAACTGATGCTTATCAATCGTCGTATATTTTGAATACTGTCAGTATTCAGGGTAAAATGAGGTGATGCATAAATGTTGGGCTTCATATTGCACACGAAACATTTACTTTGCTTGATATAATGAGTTTTTGTCCATGGCCATTTGCATTCATATATGCATAACGCGTAGTCATCTTTATTTAGATGATGATCAACATCCATAATAACTACCATGTTCCTATAACAAATCAACAAAGCCAATTATTTTGCAGATACGAATGTAAGTCAGTAGGTATATTGTGCTTTTTTTTATAAATGTTTACCATAGTTAAATAACATTGTTGTTAATTAACATAAATAAACAACATTTTTGAACACCATGTAGAAACGATTTTTGTAGGGGATTTGCTAGTCAGTAAATATAAAAACTAATTGCCGACACTGTAAATGTTTTGTGAATTATAATGAAATATTCCAATCACGAGTAAACTGTTGAACAATTTGATGTATATAACATAAATCATAAATTTATAGTGACAAATCGTCAGTTTAACTTTACTCAACCGTCGTTTGTAGGTATCTATTTTCTTCTGTAAAATTTATCAAAATCTTTAGTATTTGATACATCTTTATACTTTGACTTTTATATAGTATATTAGGACTAACAAAAACAAAAATAAACACGTAAATACTTACTTTAACACGAAAAAACACTTCCGTAAATCACGACACATTCACTCGTTATTTTGAACTAAAACGGAACTAATTTCATAGATAAAAAATTATTTTCGATTGGTTCATTCGGTCGTGATCTCATTCATATGGGTTCTAAGTGATTCAAACTCTCGGTCAAACGTACAAAATTCATTTTTCGATGTCACGTAATTACGCGTAGATATACGCTCTGGCAGACAAACACTGACTTATTTTGAGCGTTGATCTACGTTCCGGCACACGAGGGTTTAATGCTGGTGTTCCACAAGGCTGCGTGCTATCGCCCACGCTGTTTCTTCTGCATACCAATGATATGTTGCAAACCCGTAACATTCATTGCTATGCAGATGACAGCACTGGTGATGCTCTGTACACCGGCCGTGCCAATATTTCTCGAGAAAACGTCTCCGAGTACCGGAACAAACATGTATCTGAAGTCGAGTCTTTGCTGAACAGAATCTCGGATTGCGGCGACTAAATCTAGTCCAGTTTAACCCTCAGAAGACACAAGTTTGCGCGTTAACCGCTAAAAAGAACCCCTTTGTCGTATCTCCTCAGTTTCAAGGCACTCCCCTTGTTGCCTCAGCTAGTATCGGAATCCTCGGCGTCGACATATCGAGTGACGTGCAGTTTCGTGGTCACTTGGAAGAGAAGGCCAAATTGGCTTCTAAAAAGCTTGGCGTGCTCAGCAGAGCAGGGACAGTATTTCATGCCGGCACACCGCCTGCAACTTTACAAGGCGCAGGTTCGGCCGCACATGGAATACTGTTCCCATCTCTGGGCTGGAGCTCCCCAGTACCAGCTCCTTCCACTTGACCGCATCCAGCGCAGAGCGGCTCGAATCGTCGACGACCGAGTACTTTCCGATCGGCTCGATTCACTGGTGTTGCGAAGAGATGTTGCATCTCTTTGCATATTTTATCGCATCTGTCACGGGGAATGCTCTGAGGAATTGTTCGGATTAATCCCAGCCGCCAAATTTCGTGAACGCACTACGCGGCAAACGTCCCGTTACCATCAACACCATCTGGATGCTTGGCGATCCACCACTGTACGTTTCAGGAGTTTTCTTCCACGTACGACCTCTCTGTGGAATAGTTTACCACCGGCGATTTTTCCGGACCTATACGACCTGGGGATCTTCAAGAAAAGAACTTACTCCTTTCTAAAGGGCCGGCAACGCACCTGCAATTCTCCTGGTGATGCGGTTGATCATGGGCGGCGGTAGTCACTTAACATCAAGTTAGCCGCATGCTCGTTTGCTATAAAAAAAATAAAATTGCGTCGCCACGTTCATGGCGCTCTGATCCATTCGTAACAGATAGGTCAATGTCGGCTCTTGCTAGCCTTGTGTGTATACCATCTATGCCGGTAGTTGTTGACAGCACTATGCTCGAAGTTGTTGACGAGTACTTTTACCTGGGACAAATAGTCCGACTAGGTAAGTCCAAATTCGATCGAGAGGTCAATCGACGGATTTAACTCGGCTGGGCAGCGTTCGGAAAATTACGACACATCTTCTCGTCAGGTATACCTCAAAACCTGAAAACTGAGTTGTACAACCAGTGCGTGTTGCCAGTGATGGCCTACGGAACCGAGACGTGGTCCTTCACTGCTGGCCGTATGAGGACGGCTCGGGGTTTCTCTACGTGATAAACTCACGAATGAGGATATCCGCAGTCGAACCAGAGTGACAAACATACCCCAATGGATTAGTAAGCTGAAGTGGCAATGGGGCGGCCATATAGCTCGAAGAATCGATAACCGATGGAGAAAAAAGGTTCTCGAGTGGCAGCCTCGTACCGGTAGGCGTAGTGTAGGGCGACCCCCCACTAGATGGAATGACGACCTGGTAAGACATGCATGAAGTCGATGGATGCAGATGGCTCAAGACCGTGCTTTGTGGCATTACTTTAGGGAGGCTTATGTTCAGCAGTGGACTTGTGAAGGGCTGTAATGATGATGATGACCTTTTAATATCGTTCAAATGTTGGGCGTTTGATTTATATGAACGTTTATTAGTTTATTACTCTTCGTAACGGGTTTCACTTTATTCCCTATATTCACTAATGATAATTAATAATTATTAACAAGGTACCTTATTATGCTATTTTAGCTTAAAATACATATTTTATAGTTACACGAAAGAAGAATATTTATGGAAACAAATATTTATGGAACAATTAATTTAAAAATAAAATTATACAAATACATTAAACAATCTTAACGTAAATACTTCGGCAAAAAGAGAGACACGTCTACATAGCATCAGGTCCGCACACATCCGTACGTATTATTTCAGAAATAAGAATGTGCGATTTAAGAAAAATCAATTAATTGGACTAAAAAATTTACACCATTAAGTTAACATGCTGTAAACTCATTTTTCCCAGAGTTATTAACCTTTTGAGCGCCACGCCAAAAACGCATTACCGTGTCCTGTACGCCAAAGCGAAAAGTAAACAAAAATACCTATGAAAAATATAGTGTTGCCAAGAGTTGATATATCGATAACACAAAATAACTTGATTTTGTTGGTTTTTTATGCAATAAATGACTTTATAATCTGGTATGTTTTATTTAATCTTGCGCTGTCTTCCACTCTTTTTATACATGTTCTTTTTATTTATGTACAAATAAAAAAACAAACAATAACAATAAAATAGTAGTAAACCACAGCACAACTCTCCATCGTGATGACGTCACTGTCACGACTGGATGACAACGGCGTAGCTGACCTTCCTTTTTGAAACTTTCTTAGAGATGTAGCCGTGTCGCACGTTATGTATCGATTTCAAAATTGATCTAATCAAAATATACAGAGATCGACTCAAAATATTTTAGAGGCGTAGGCCAAGTGAAGCACAGAAGAAAAGTCTTACGTTCTTATGACAAAGGGGCTATGATATGATGCTGATGCTGCCAGATTTTTAGATTCGAAAGTGATTCTCACCTTAAGTTAAAAATCCATTTATTATTTGTAATTTTATATTATTAAAATTCATCATCATCGACGCTTTCCAAAATGCGAATGAGTTCTGAGGAATCGTTCATGTTGCACTGCACTACTTTTCCCGCTAATCACTTATGACGTCATCAGGGTGTCGTCTATCCTTGACCACGGCGCCCACTGAACTGATTTTCGATGACGCGGTAAGGATGCGCCAGAGTTGAGATATTAGATTTATTATGTGAAGATGATTTGATAATATTTTTTATTAATGTAGCTAATTATAGTTTTTATAACCTTTTGTTTTATTCAAATATCAATAATAATAGAGTAAAAATATAATACGTTTGAGCTGAATTTTGGATAGTTTTGAAGAAATCTATACCTCCCGCGTTCGATACTAGCGATCAATCATAGACGACATTGGCGTGCTGGACATAGTATTTGCTTAGATAAAAATCCATTTTTTTTAATACAATGTTTCTTAGTACTTGTGGCTCTAGGCGACTTGTTTTTTATAGTACTCACATGTTGCTGGGTTATTCTTTTTTTAAGGAGTGTAGAATTAAAATACCACTAATAATTTTCAAATATCTATATTTCATATTTTTGTGGGCCGGGTTTTATGTCAACTATAGACGTCGTGGGCTCTGGGCCCTGAGCGCCCGCAGGTGCTGGTCAAGTATAGGCGACTTTGGCGCTCAAAAGGTTAAATATTTGTATTTCTCAAAAGTCTGATGCGTAATCATTGCCCTCTAACGTTGCTAAGGCCAAGTCGGTCGTAAACCTACTTCATAATGACATTTCTTCCTTATAGCTCCGTGGAAAAGAAGGATAAGAATAATGAGAATAAGACAAGAAAGCCTATAATACTAATTTCTCGCACCATATAGCCTACACTAAATTTCGTTAGAGATATCAATGGGCTTCAGTACAGGTACATGACAATCCATCAATTAAATAAAATAAAAAGTTTTTTAAAATTATTTTATTAGTCACTTAAGACTATTCCTTCTCTTCGATTTCAGGCAAATCTCTATCCGTTT